AAATTGTACATATATATCTATTTTTTTATTTTTTTTTATTTAGAACTTACAGTAATAAATATTTTAGTGCGACTTTAAAAATTATAACAGTGGTACAATAAACATTTCTATTACAATTACTTATTTAATGACAAGGTGCTTTGTAKACATTCTATTCAGCAGAGCGACTTCTCTTGTCTTAAAAAGTATTTATTATAACTCTGCATATTATATGCACAATACCTTAAACTGCCGAGATATGCGTACGATTACATTGTGAATGTGAGGTACATAACTTTGCTTATTCGGAGTGCGAAACAAGCGATTAAAATAACTGTGTACCTACTACCTATACGACGCCATACCTTAGGAATAACATTCGCGTGAAAAGATACATTTAATAAGCTCCATGTGTATGCGTATCACAGCGTTTAAGTTTATTAATTTCACATTAGACCCGSAGATGGAATATTATACGCGAATTATCACGTAAATAAATATTACTAAAAAGAAGCTATATAAACGCATGTCATTATATAATATTATATTATGGGCGTAGTGTATATATAAGAAGTGACGTACCCATAATAATAAAATACGCTGTGAAAACAAAGTAAACGTATATTTCATGTTAGTTTACAGCATTATATTTATATATATATATAAATAATTTAGTATTTTATTGTGGTGTATACAATATATAGTGTATATAACAAAATTTGTTAAACATAAATATACTATTTAAAATATTATTCGGTACTTTGTGCTATTTGTTTTTCATTGGAATTGCTTTTAAGATAGGTAAAAATCCGACTGACAAATTGTTTACATAAATTATAATATATGGCAGTGTTTTGTGTGGGATGGTTGAKCCTATGTAATATATAATAAGTGATTAGAAAAAATGCAGAAAATAATTATAAATACAAAATTATATATACAAACATATTGTGGATACTCATGCGCATAAAGGAGACAATAATCGTACGTAGTGATTTGGAACGAAAAATGTATTATATAATAACAATCAAAGTTAAGTGTCCAAAAGATATTAAAAAAGTTCGCATCTCATTGAAAACACTTTTTTATAATACTAAATTAAAGCGTATTCGTTTTAATTTAAACCCTTTTTTTAAGTAACAATATCATGTAATTGAATAACTTAAGCAAAGTAAAAATTTGAAAAGAATTTTATAAAATGTACTATATAAATTACCCTTACATTMAAAATGTTAAATGCGTGCATAGTTAGAACTTTTAAACTAAATTATTCGGGTCGTAAATTTACCACAAGAGTTATAGGTAAACACTAAACATACCTAATTAGTATGTACCTAATATGCAACTCACTTACAACTTACAACTATTAAAAAAATTATGTTTGTAGTGCACGCTACACAGTTTTTTGAATATGATTTTTAAATTCAAAAACGAACTAAATAGTATAAATAATATTATATTTCATATACATAGTATTAATAATAATTTATAATATATTGGTACTAATTTATAAGTTTATAACTGCAGTTAGAATGGTTTTAAAATTGAATCTGTTTTTTGTTGTATAATCATACTTATTTTTAATAGGTTAAAGTCTATATTCTATAACAATAATTGTTAATTGTTATAAATGTTATAACTTTAAACTCAATATCCCAATGGATATTTAAAAAATGTAAATACTTAATGTGTTTTTTATTAGGTATATATTATATTAATATTTTAAGGAATTAACTCTAAAGAGTAATAATTAGAGAACTATAAATTGTAATATGCTTAGAATTTTATAGGCTATATTCCTTCTCACCACTACCTATATTATATTATAATCATGCATTTTCGAATAAAAAACTAAAAATGTTTACAGTTATTAATTATTATAATACAACCTAATACCTAATAGACCCAATTTACATAATCTTCATTGTATACGGGAAGAAAGAATGAACTCATAATAGATATTAACTAAAAAATGGCCTCTTATATTATTCTAAATAAAATAAACAATATTGAAGCATATATTACTCGTTCTTAACCAGTGGCGTGCCCAGGAAATTTCAATGGGGAGGGATATATGTTATAAATTTTTTAGWAAAAGYAGKTACATTTAAATTAATCATGGTTATCCAAACACAAAAATTGCTAAACATATGTACATTCATGCATATTGAGTATCATTCTACAATTATAATTAATTTAAATAGCCACTCACTATACACTATTGTTTAAATAAAATGACAACATCAAACTAAAAATATTTAGAAAAATAATTCTTAAAAACAACTTCGTTATTCGTTATTCCAAACGAAAATTTATATTTATACTTTTAGTCTACGTAATAAGCATGAATGGATCATGCTATCTTATATCTTACCATAAACATAATTAATTATTAATTATTACTTAGAGGATTTATTGCTCATGAATATGAATACATAATCACTGATCTATAATCAGTATAATCCGTATAGTGAATGTTTATAATAGCCAATGGGAAATAATTTATAAGCAATAACTTATTACTGATAATTTTAAAAGTAATATCC